TTTTTTTTTTTCGCATTTTCTGACGCAATTTAAACTAAGCATTCAAACTAAAAGCTCGATTGTCATCCGTATTCATTGCGATTGCGTTTGACTGTGATGAGTTCAGTTGTTTTGGTGGCAACAAAATTTGCTATGATCTAATCGTAATAGAGATCTGAATTGCCAGTCGGCACAATCGCAATCCATTCTTTCACGTAGTGAAAAAAATTTTCCAGCGAAACAGCCGAGAAAGATTGCTGATGGAGCGATATGATAAGAACCAAAATCGAAATTTTCATAAACGACACTTGTTTTTGATCCGAATGCGCTTTTCAGTTGCTTGTGTGCGATTTGCTCACAAGCAAGTTTATTGTGAGCACTTGCAGGTGGAATAGTTGGCATTTTATTGACTGTTCTGACAATGATTTTCAAAAGTCGTTAGTGATTCGAAGAAGTGCTCGAAGTTGATATTCTGCACTGAAAACAATAAAATAGTGTTGCATTGAAATTTTTTCGTTGATATTCACACATTTCAGAGGAGAATGATGTGGTGTTGGAAATGATCTGCTCGAACAAATCATAAATTTTATTTAATGAGCAAGCATATAGCTGAGAGCTAATGATGATGATTAGGAGGGCAATAATGATTAGGATTATACAATGCTAATGAAAATGTTTTTAAGCGTTTTTAAAGAGTTTTATCCATTGGAACGGAACTATTAGAGAATGAGAGGGATGTTGTTGGTGCATTGTTGAAAGCGTTCTTCGTTCAGTGACTCAGTTAGTCAGTCAGTTGCGGTGTTCTCCTCAGTAATCGTCTAAGAGGAGAAATTTCCAATTTATTTCAATTGAGCTGATATGATCATCGGCAATAGCTGATATCTATGTATCTGTTTATATAGAGATTCGTCTGCTCATTTTATTCATCCGTTTTTCCACACATCTCTCTGAATATCCATCCATCCATACATCCAACCAACCAACCAACCATCTGATCGTTTCGAGAAGAGTGATAATAATTCTCGATTGTCAGTGTTGACTGCCTATGTTTTTAATGCTCACTTCACTTTGCTTAACACAACAGCACATCATCTCAATCAACATCACCTAACAACTGTTCTAACCTACTTACTGAGTTAAGCAACTTACTGCATACTGATTTCTTATCAATTCATCGATTCATCTGTGTTTCTGCCAAAAGTCAACAAATCACTGCTATTGTTGTGTTGCTTGAATAGAAGCATTGCTCAAATTCGATATTTGATATTCGTTTTATTTGCGGGCATTGACTATCGAATTGATTGTTGATCCGGTATTTTTTGATGGATAATGGTCTGTCGTTGGTTTATGAGTCAAAAGGGTCAATAAGCGCACGCAGACATCTGATTCAGAAGAGTATCTGTGAGCGAATGGACTGAAGAAATGTGTATTCGGTTATTGCTGTTTGCATTGTTTGAATGTATGCTGATAAAGTTAATTGATGCCACTCCGCAACCTTACCTGGAGTGTTCATCTGAGTGTGATCATCTCGAAGAGAACTCAGCTTATGAATCTTGTTTGAAATCTTGTATTGCAAATCCACGATCACTGCACACGGCTAATGGATTTCATCGATCGTTCAACGATTATGATGATTCGTCAACAACCTCTCGAAGTGAGTCAATAACGTTCAGCATTGAATTGAATTCACTCTGACTGTACATAAACCATATGAAAATTAACTGACATTCAGAGAGAAACCTTTTGAATTTCAGTATATTGAACTCTTTTTGCATTGAATCACTATCGAGCATTTTCATTTAAACCTTCAATTCATCTCACCAAACTCGTTGTTTACTCATCAATTTTATGGTTTTTTTCGCATTTTCCTGTCCGTTTTTTTTNTTTTTTTTGGGGGGAAATGGCGATATTTTCTGCCGATTTCATCATCATCATTATATTTTTTGTGGTAGTTTCAAGAGACTTATGATATGTTCGTACGTTGCATTTTCTTTCGTATACCCCGAAAATGTTGCTGAAAACTCAAAAAAAAAAGTTTTTGATTCGGCGTTGACCATTCGCAGACGTTTGCTTTCTATTAAAACTCTTTCATACAATCTTATGTTCCTTCCATACCACTCTGAAGAAACATTGCGATTTTTGCTGCCTTGATGATCTCTCACTGAATATATGATGTGAACAGCTGCTCCACTTTAATGCTGCGACGACAGGAAATACCTCATGATCAGGTTTTGTCTTTGCCAGAAAACTATGCTTTGAGAATGTGTCATTTTTTCAACTGCAAATTCTTTTGAATGATTTCATCGCGATTGCCACACTTCCATTTGCATGTGAGCCTGGTTCAGATGAACGTAAAATTAAAAACTTTAGATTTGAATGGTTTCACAAAGAAACGACACTGTTAAAACGCATTATGAGAGTGGCGAGGTAGAGGTGGCTAACACTATCAAATGCATTCAAAAACATTACAATATAATACATTCAATGCGATATAAAGCATTCTTCACAAACTTTGTACTTTTCGAATCAACGAAATTGTTGTATGGTACGCTTGTTCTGAACAGTGTCTGTGCTCATTACTCAAGACATCAGTTGTTGTTGTTGTTGTTGTTATTGAACGCACCTGAAGGTGCATTGCACATATTACTAATAACCTTGAAAGTTTCTCAATCAAGCACCTATAACGCCTCATTCGAAGGACGTTGAAACAATGCGAAAAGATGTTTTTTGTTTTGAAGTGCGAAAATTTTTGTTCAAACTATCCATCAACAATTCTTCATGCACTTCCTCATAGCGATTTCTCGTCAAACATTTCTATTCTCTTCTTTCTTTCTTTTTTTTTGGCTGGGATTGCCCACACGGCAATTGTTTAGCACCATATCACAATGCATTTCTAATGAAAATGAAGATGATATCCTTTCAAAAAAAGCCATTTTCTCAATTCCAATCCACTTTTTGTTTGCTCCAAATGGAATGAATGAGCAAGCGCCTTCCCCTTCTTCTCATGAATATTCTATCCATCGCAAAAGTACACTTATCGCACCCATCGACCGTACACAGCCAACATTTTTATTCTTTCTGCAAAATTTCATCTATTTCTCTCTGTTTCACTCCTGATTCAATTTGTGCGGCGCGGCGGCACTCCACCGACTTAAATCAATCAGCTTTATGACAGCAGGCATTTAAACGTTTATTTCATGCTATGAGTTATATGTATTTCACACACATACATTAGTGCATCAATCAAAGTAATTAGCATAAATCATTGTTTCGTCCATTTTTTTTCGGTGCAGCAACTTGTTCAACGCACATGTGATCGATGATATTCGCTCATAAATCATTCATTATTGCTCATGGTCAATAAAAAGTTATTCATTACACTCAACTTCAAATCATATTTTAACTCTGCTAGACACTGACTACTGTGCTATGCATAAAGTAGATATTGACATGTATATAGACAAACGAATAGTCGAGATTAGATCATTTGTTTTTTGCCGATTAACAACTCAAAGAGTGCAGAGTTGTGAGTGATTGGAAGCAGTTTTGAAAGTTTAAGTTTAAAAAGTGAGACTCTGATGTAATTTCGATACAATGACCTGAAGATGTAGCCAGAAAAACGGAATCTGTGTGCTCGCCTTATTAAACTTTGTATTTGTAAAAGTTTTGTCAAAAAAAATTCGATCGCTCTCAATCTGCTTGGAGAAGTCAGATAATTAAACTCGCACTATCAGTGTGTACTTGTACTGCAGTTTTGATAGCGAACGGAATCCGGCGGCTGAGATTGTAAAACGCAAACCAACGGAAAGCATTTGTAACTTGGCAAACGCTGATGTAAATACACATTCATATTTTTTGAAATAAAGAAGTGATATACACATAAGCGTGTATTCGGGGGAGTTTGAAAGAATTCAATTTTAAGGGAACTTAATTGAATAAATGAATTATCTAACAAGAAATATGAAGGAAGTAGGTATGATAGAGTGTGCAATTTGTTTAACTCTATAACTGTTAGATGAGTTCGATAGCAACATAATAAGTAACTGTACAGTTCCGAATGAGTTGACAGATGTTTGCTTGGGAGATGCTTTTGTGTACGGTAACTAATGTGCACTCGAGTTGACCTGTCAAAAGGCATTTTTTTCTAATTTTTGACGCAAGCAATTGTTCGAGAGTAGATCTTCAGTTCAGATCACATTCTAAAAAGACAAACTTCAAAGTGAATGGCGTTAGAAAGCGTTAAAAATTCTTCAAACAATAAACTCAATCGCTACTCCTCCTACAAAAGCATCCAGGAAGGCATCTGAAAAGAGAATAGTATCAGGGAAAGCCACAGATGTTTGTGTTGAGAGCGAGAATGCAAGAAGTGTCGAGAGCAATCTTGAATGATTCACTAATATTTGGAGAATGTTATTATTATTATTNAGAATGCAAGAAGTGTCGAGAGCAATCTTGAATGATTCACTAATATTTGGAGAATGTTATTATTATTATTTATTAGCACATTTGATTGATTGATAGTTGTGGCATAGCATAAACTGCTCTCAGAGGGTTCTCGACGAACCAAATTGACTATGCAAAAGTGAATTTTATGTGTAAAAAAGTGTTTGCTCCAAAAGTGAGGTTTCAGTTTAACGGAAAAAAAGCATCTGCTTAAAACATGTTTCTCTCTCAAAGAAGTGTTTTGAGCTGTGCAATTATTTTAATGCTCACAACAAATACTGCATTCATTAAATGAGGGAGGGTTTCTTCCATCAATTAAATGAGTGTTTCTTCCGGAAATTTTTTTGCTCACAGACAAACAACGCATTTCAGGTTATCCTCCGCCACCGACCAATATTACGGTGGAAACTGTTGCGGTGATTGGCGATGTGAAGTTTCTCGAATTGACAGTTTACTGGGATGCTGAACCGGGTAACGGCTATTGATCTTGAAGGAAGCATCTTTCGCTT